TCGAGAGGCGGCAGAATCTGCCTACCGTCTTCTTGGACATGCGGTCGGCCTTCGACACGGTGTGGCATGATGTGACACGATGTGGCTCTTATGTCTCATCGAGTCAGGGATAAGCGACTGCTACACCAGGTTGATCGGTAGTTTTCTAATAAGAGAGAACGTTGAGTGCGAGTTAACGGCGTACAATCGTCCCTAAGACGCGCCGAGGTGGGAGTTCCACAGGGGAGCGTGTTCTCCCCACCCTCTTCGGCTTGTAGGTCAATGATGCACCTCTCCTAGCAGAAAGGAGAACGGGAATTCAGCGTTGCGGGCTCCTGATGTTCGCGGCCGATATTGAGTATTACGCGAAATCGGCGAACAGCAGGCAAGCAGTGAGATACCTGAATGAATGCCTCACCGCCTTTCCCACCTGGCTACGCCAGAAACGCCTGACCCTACACCTTGAAAAATGCGTGTCCGTTAACTTCACCCGTCAGAGGGCAGACCCCGAGGAAACGGTGTTGCTTGCGGGCGCGCATCTCCCTTGGTTCCCATGCGCGAGGTACCTTGGCGTGACTCAAGATCGTGGCCTCTATTGGCACAAGCACGCCAAGGACCTTCGCCACAAAATTCTTGCGAGGACCTCCCTCTTACATCCCCTCCTTAGCCCCGGGCCTATCTCTGTCGCAGAAGCGTCTCTTTTTCACCGCCTGCATACGCAGTTTATGGACCTATGCTTGCGAAATCTTTGCGGCAGCGCCGGTCTCGACCTTACGCCCGATTTGGGCGGCCGAGAACCGAGCGGAACGGACCGCCACGCGGCCGCATCTTTCTCCTCCTCCTCCTCCTAACCGCCACCATAGGAACAGTGTAACCTACGGGGCATTGGGCGTAAGTCGTCAGCTGCCGGAGGAGATCCGCCGGAGGGCACACACGGCGCTCACGCAGGCGCTGGGCCCGAAAGCTCCTCGGCTCTTGCGTGAAACCGGCCGGGCGGTGAACTGTGAGGTTCGCCGAACGTATTTTACGTCGAGAGGGTTAAAGCAAGTGGCCTCCACGTTCCTGGCGCTACCGCCGCAGCTTCTCGCAGAACTCTGCGAGCAGCGGCGTGAGGCTCCCAGCGGGACGAGTGAGGCTCCGCCCGTTACAATTGCCAGGGCACATTATGCCTAGCCGCCACGGACGCTTGGAGCAAAGTCAGCGTCGTGGCGCACAGTGCAGTGTAAATAGTGTCTTCAATTATTAAGAAACGATTTTCATTATTGTCCGTTTAGTTATGAAAGCAATTTTTTGACACACATTAACGCGAAACTAAATTGAGGAACATAATTCGTTATTAACACATACAAATTATTCTCATTACTCAAACATTGGCCAACTTGTGCTTGTGCCATGATACTACCTTTTATTCTTGTAATACCACCAAATGGAGAATGTTCACATATGACTGTATTTATATAGATAAAATGCAAGAAAAGTACTCTTTAAAACTTCCTTTTCACAAAATATTTAAATGCATAACTTTGTGACCATTTGGTCTGTTGTAGGTTTTATTAAGAATATACTGAAAGAAAACAACTCAAGCTCTTTGAAATTCAGAATTTATGACATGTCAATTTACATACACGACTTCAATAACACACAAATATATTCCCATCTTTTTTCACACGCTTTGTATCAATTCTTATAATATTTATTGTAGTGACAGTATTGCTGTTCTAGAGTGAGAAACGATTCATGCTTTGGGAGGCATTCATTCAATGGTAATACTTTTTGCGGCTAACAATTAATTTTATTTACATGGGATCTTCGCTTAATTTCCCTGTAGAAGTCACGCGAAGCAGGGTAATTGAAAAGTTCCGGCACACTGAAACCTTCGATAGCTCAACTTGTCCTTGAGAGAAAATATCATTGGCAATACTGTTTCTTGAGTCATTTTCGAATTATGAACTTTGTAATATATCTTTATTTATTAGTTTTCTTGCTAGCCGAGAAATATATCACAATTAAAGTCGCACTATTGAATAGAGTAGACAAAGATATATTATATAGCTTCTGTTCATATTCGCCATAAAACTTCTTCTCCTGGCGTTATTAAATTTGCCAGATAATTTGTTTATATGTCAACAACACTTAAACGAATTAAAATATTGAAACGAGAGTTTTAATGTCTGTTTACAATAAAAAGGAAAGTTTTAATCTTAAAAAAACAGCCATAGTTGATGAAATTCTTACAGCAATGATCCCACGAAACTACCAATAACCGCTACATTTTGTTGTTGTTGTTTTTTCTTCAAAGAAATGATAAAGACAACATCTCTTTTCAGTGTACTTCTGTGCTGAGAGCTGAAGGAATGAGTGGAAAAAAGTGTTTACGTGAGTGATTAAATATCTCGAGAACGGAAGATGATATCACCGATCAGATTACAGAATTTTGTATTGCCTTTAAAGGGGGTTTAGAGAAGACAATAAAAAATTGCAACATTTTCAAATTTATAAACAATTTCAAAATTTTTCCACTCTAAAGTGGGGAGTATCCCCGATGTCCCAGAACAGAAATACGCAAATTAACAATTTTGCAACAATTAATAATTGTATAAATAATTACGAAAAGTGCGCTAAAACGGCCTAGGAGGGTCCACAAATCGTGTCTGAGTTGAACATGTCAAAATAGCAGTTTTGGTCGGAGTTGTAGTTAGTATAACTATATGTAGTTATGTACTACTATACGTATGTAGTTATGCACTACTATATGTAGTTAGTATACTATAACATGTTATTATAACTGTTGCTAAGTGCTAATTATTCACTGGTCTATTGACACCAATACTCGGCAGAAAACATCCGCTTAGAAATATTTTTCCGTCTTGGGGTAGGCGCAGGCGAAATCTCTTCGAGAGATGATATTTTAGCCTCATACGTAAACAACTGCGGCTCCCCCTCCAGGAAAAGCCACGTGTGTGCTAATCACATAGGCATTTTGTGCTAATCACATAGGCAATAAGGTTTTGACTGTAGCGCTTCGTCAACGCGCCACTCCTCTGAATCGAAGGGGACTTTACTTACAATATGTAAACATGTTTTTAAAGGTTTTATACTTTATCATATCAGCTGTCAGTTAATTTCCGAGTAGTGTAAAGTGTTAAGAAATGTGTAAAGTGTACGTACACCTGACGTGATAGAAGATTTTGTTAAGAAGTTTACGAAGGGAATGGGGGTCTTAACGATTTTTGCGTACCTAAGTAGTACTTGTGAACAACCCCTTACGTCATCTCCGTAGGTACACTTTTTACATCAGTAGACACGACCACATTAGCGTGTAAAAGAATTACGAAAATCTTCCACGAAATTGTGTTGCGGCGAAGTTTTCCTTCCATAACACATTGTTTGATGAATCTATTCTCATTATTAATGAAATTTAGTTCAGACCTACGTGTGTCATTTCCTGTAATTTGTAACAGGAACGATATCAGCCAAGCTAAGGTAAAATCATTTTATTTTAAAAATTTCTTTACAAAAGTGCAACATAACGTGTAAAACCTAACCGTAACATTAAACATGAGCTTGAACTTTTCAGGAGTTAAACGAATAATGATAAATACTAGCGTATTTCAAGAAGAATTGGTCGTTTTAAAGGTTAGGATGCACAAAAAATACCAGAGAAGTGATCAACAAACAGTCGATTATGAATGATATTTTTGTAAAAATCGGAAGTTCTTACTTGCGATCTCCCCTTGCCTTGAGCGGTGTTTGCGAGCGCGTGCACGAGCTGTTGCAAACCGAGCGAGATAGCCTGTTGTGCCCATTTCCATTGGTAACTGCGTTGGCTGTCGGTGCTGCCTCCAGAGGCGTCTAATTCGATATTCGGAGACTCCGCCAGGAGGCGTTGCCTCGCCGGCCTCCCTTCACTCTTCCTCCTTCGCGTGTGCTGCACACCGACACAGAAATGTTTAAACGTAGCCAGTGTTGGAGGGTGCACGTTCAACGGCGATGAAAATGTTCTACTTGAGATTTCAAATTGAACTCCTTCCTAATATGAATATGTTCTGCATTAAGAAATAAAGTATTTTTTGAATATTACTATTTTCAGACACTTACTTCTTTAATTACACAATGCTGCTCTGTGTAGTGAAAGCTACATAAAATATACATGATGGTAAGGAGAATCAAGTGCACAGATTTTAGCAGTTATGTTCGTTGATTAGCAGGAAAGTCACGCCGATAGTTTTTCTTTTACATGTAGTATTTCTCATTACTGTCACATAGTTCACCCTCCTACTTGAAACTCATGAGATTGGGAATTGCTAACGTGATAGCGACCTATTTCAAATTCAGTGGATGAAATATAATTAGCCGCTGACGATTAAGAAACAAATTTGATAATATTTTTGTATACATATTCAAAACACCGAGGATTTTGAATTTGATAATATTTTTGTATACATATTCAAAACACCGAGGATTTTGAAGATAAAAACTTTTTGTAATTATAATTTCAAAAACGTCCTATCACATCTAGCAAAATAGCTCCAGAAAAATAAAGCGATTATTATACATTTTACTGAATAAGTGTATTTTTTGCAGTACCTCATTTTTCTCTAGATATAATTAAGTAATTTTAAGGCTATATCAATGTGTCTATGGTATAACAGTTTTTAATTAACAGGTTGAATCGAGTCGTTGATTTGCGTGTTAGGAAAAATTTTAAATTACAGAATGCACCATTGTAAATATTCCATGCAATGTGATGTAAAAGTTATTGGGTATTTTATTTATTTCAAGTGTAATCTGATGTGTCTAATTCTTTGTGAAAAAAATGTCCGGTAATGAGTTTCCAGATACGAAGCATTCGAGCCATCTCCCTTTAAACAGGCTTTCTCGTGGAGGGGAGGGCTGACAATGTGCGATCGTTTCTTCAGCATTCTATGAAATTGAAGGACACCATCACATGCAATGTAAACTGTTCCTAGCACTATATTACACGCAAGGATGGAGAAATGAGTCCATTAAACAATGCTCGATCAATGTAAACAAACAACAAAATATATTTCTCTGGAATATATGTTACATTTTATTGTTCTTCTTTTAATTCTCATGAGGAACATTATCTTTGAGCATGTAAAAAAACTTATTGTAAATAAACACAAACTCTTTCGTCAGGTAAATATTTTTTGCACCAGATTCACTTGAATTTTCATGAACTTATTAATACATCAGAATGACAAATTTCAAAATTATATTAAATTTAGAGCTCTCTAGACATATCTTGACGTGAGCAATACATATTTAAACAGTCGAACATCCTCTTCAGTAATCGACGACCGAATTGGAAGACAGATTCGCTATAGTAACGTGATGTATTAAGAATTGAAACTATTATCACACCCATGAACCCTATTTCCTCATATAAACTTCATGGATCATTGAGCGAACAGCACCGAAGTTCGATCAAGTCGCCTAACAAATGATATTTCTCGCACAAGTTGCCTAAAAAAGGAGATTGCTCGCACGTACTTCGCGGTATCTTCTCCAAATGGCAACATGAACATCCAGAAGCAATCTTTAAGTTTCTTTGTCGGCACCGCTGCTACCTTCGCCTAGAACTAGGTCGCGAACCAGCTCTTCTAGGATCTCGGAGAAGCGTTCGCGATACACTGCATCTTCTCGGAACTGCTTCAATACGTGGTCGGTGCGGCCCTCGTTCAGAAAGTGATGGTACGCCTTCACGTCGCTGAACGTTTTGCTCAGAACGGCGCCGTCCGTCAGCACGAAGTGAAGGAAAAACGGTGTCACCAGGAGGCCATGGCGTCGACTTTCCTCCCAGGATGCCTGCAAAGAGTGGTTTTCATAAGTAGAACCCGTGAAAATGTGACGGTGAGATCTGAGATAAACATAAAATACAGTGTCAATAATTTGTCAACAGCTTCTATAAACAACTGTTTAATTTCTTCTTGCATATTGCTAGAAGGCAAACTTATTTTTCCATTTATGCCACACAGGGTAAAACTGCTTTGCAGAATTTCTTTCAATTGGAAAGTACAAAGCAGAACAAAACTGACATTCCGTAGATAAAAACCCAACAGAAATCGAAATTACTTCGCTATCACGACATTTGCGATCACTTTCTATTTCCCTACGTCGTCCTTTAGTGCCCCTCTTTACAATCCCTGTAACAACATTTCTGGTTAACTCATATTTGCAGATTTTTGCACTAATTGGCAAATTTTATTTCTTCAATAGACGAAGACATCCTAAATGAAACATATAAGCAAGTTTTTTTCATTCGTGAATGCCCGATGTCCATCGCTAAGGCATTGTACATTCCTGGCCAGGGTGTACATATGACTTGAGTCGGTTCAAATCTTCATCTAAAATTGTGCTTAGCGGCTAAATGCCCACCAATACCAATATCCCTGTCGATACCGAAATGCAATTAATACACCTGAAACAGAAACTTGACGAATGGTAAACAATATTATTAGACGATATCAAGCGGAGACCTGACATCTATCGGTATACTCATATCTATCGATAATTGAAACAGACAGTCTTTGAAAGAAAACAATTGACTGGTGACAAGCGTACTATTACAGAAAGATTTACTTAATTTACACCGTAAACGCTGCTGAATCAACACAATATCTGATAACACATCAAGAGATCATAATCTTTCATTCAAAGAAAAAGAAATACAATCGGTTCAGTAGAAGCCCGAAAGAAAGCCATGGCAGAATACCTTTTTCTAAATGTATAGATCCCAAGAGAACTCTGAGTCTACTTAGTTATTTAAGATACGATTGGTAAAAGTTACATTATATTTTGGGAGTAGGAATTGTTGCGACACGAGGCAGGTAGGCCGAGTGGCACAATCGTACGAGCAAATTTGTTACTGACATTAGTTTCATTTAATTCAAGCATACAAATCTATATTTTACATTTAAGGTCAATAGTAGTTGATGTAGTCAGATGAAAGTATTTTGTTTTTCTCGCAGTTTTACCTGAAAATTTGAGCATAGTCTCACTATGATGGTCGTTGTCAACTTAAAAATTCCCATTTCTGTAGGGATCAACCACAAATAATTTCTTGTATAAATTTTGAGCCGATATTTAACAATTATTCGAGGAGTTCCTTTGTCTTTGCCTCGCACATATATTTCACTATATTTTTATTTAGTACTTTTGTTGATTTTTATAGTTGAAATATTTTATCAATTTTTAACCTAACGATGTGAATGGATCCGTTCAGGAAACGTTGTTGTAACTTACATTAACCTTCATTTACCGCAATGAAGAAAGCCTTATTTTCCATTAACTTTTGATGGTAATTTGGTTGTCTAAAAAAATGAAAGGTTACCTCTACAATTGAACTGGAGATTCTAAGATGGCAAGAGGACGCGTCGTACTTGGAAGTCTGAATTTTTCAGTAGGTTTTTGAGTTCACCTAAAGCTTTTGAGTACGTGGAGTTTTTGGGCAACTAAGCACCTGGAGATTCTGGGATTGCGAGAGGGCGCCTCGTACCTGGAAGTCCTTCCACGGCAACAGCTGCTGGACGTCCGCGCCCAGCGCGCGCAGCTGCTCGCCCAGCTGGTCGTGGTACTCGCGCAGCAGCGAGTGGGCGTGCTCCCGCCGGAAGGCGCGCGTGCCCACCACGTACAGGTACTGGAACACCTCGTGCGCCGGCGGCACGTAGCGCAGCAGCTGGTAGTCCACGAGGCGCGCCTCCGCCGGCCGCCCGGCCTCGTCGTACCTGCCACGCCCACCCACGCCGCGTTCAGACGCACCGGCGAGCCATTGCACACGTCACTCGCCGTTCAGGTCCATTCACAATTCAGACGTAAGCAGGGCGTTAACATAAAAGTTAGGACCAAGTCCATAAGCGGACTCATTCACAATGCGTTCGCATAAGCATAACACGTAAGACGTTAACTTAAAAGCTTGCAAGATTCAAGCTTCTGCTTGCTTGCTTATGCTTAAGTAAGACATAAGAAATGAACCAACCACAGAACGGTAATTCAAAATCGAGAAGCGAATTCGATAGAAGAACTAACGCCATATGGGCCATGGACACAGTCGATACCTTGAAATTGATTCTCACAACCAACCAATAGTAAACCAGAATGTCTCACAGCCAAAATAAACTCTTATTTTTCGTACGCTTATGTCAGAGATGGTAAATATTTCAGTATATCAATTATGTTAATGTTTATGTCTATACGCTATGCTTATGTTTACGTTCATATTGTAAATGGGCCTTTATAGCGCGCATAACGTTACGGCATACCTTTCCCGCTGGTAACTCTGGTACCAACATGAAAAGTTGTCCGTCTTAAACCAACGATTCGTCTGGAAGAGAATGTTGAGCCAGAGTATTCCGGCAGTATGCTCGTCTCAAACTTTTCAAAAATATGGAATATATGCATGGTAAAAATATCATTTGTATAACTTCAAATACATCTGTAAATGTGACACCCTTTACATCTGTATCACTTACACTTAACGAAATTCTTTGAATTCAAAGAGACAACAGCAATTCAAGAAGATAAGCGTTGTGTACGCGCCCAAAAAATAATGATAACCTCAGAGATATGTATATCTGAATATCCTTCAAATATGTTTTACATTTAAGGAACTGCCTGTTCATTCAACGAAGCTACAGCAAGCGTCGCATACGCACCAGAAGAAATGTTGAGCCAGAGGTTGTTGAGAACTTTGTTCATCTCAAACTTTTCAAAGATATAGGGGATTTCTATGATAAAAGAATCATTTCTGTAACTTTATAAATAACCTTAAACATCCTTAAAATATGGGTAACATTTTAACACCTGTTAAATCGAGGACACAAAATTCGTTACGTATGCTCCGCGAGAGAGACGAGCCAGAGAGAGACAAGGCAAAAAGACAGAGATTGCCTCTTCATTTGTTCGTCTCAAACGTTTCAAAGATATAGAAGATTCATTCGATACAATAATCATAAGGTAACTTCACAGATATCTCTAAATATCCTTCAAATCTCTGCCATTTACACTTAACGAAACCCCTCGCAATTGAAGGAGGTCTCAGCAGAGTCGCGTAGGCACTCGAAGAAATGTAGTTGAGCCAGAAGTTGCCTCTCATTTTGTTCGTCTCAAATGATTGATTGATTTATGAGTGATCCCGGGCGTGTTAACTGCTAAGCCCATTAATCCCATAAGTGTAGAGTATCTTTCATCACTCGAAGGGGCGGTGACCTTCCCTCGCAGGATGGCGAGATAAGGCACCGACCTACGTCAACTTGCGGGACTTTTCCCCAGTTAGATATCTCCAGCTCAATTAAGCTTTTCTAGATTGGCACCACCCCAGCCAGGATAAGCTCTAAAATCCGAGCTGGTCTTAAGACACATGTGGTAGTATAGTGCAGGTAAGTGTAAAGTGTGGGTAAGTAAGGAATGAGAAAAGGACAAGGAAGGGGAAGGAAAGATTGCGCGCGGTTCGTGGCCCGTTTGTTAGGGTACTGCTTCGGCATTCGCCTGGTGTTGATCGGTGCAACCAAGGAAAACTACCGATCAGAGCAGGCGGTCGATAGAATTATCCTCCAGACAGTGGCAGAAGTCGACCTAGCTGACAAGCCAATGTCGAAAAGTCCCGCAACCCGACGGGTAGGTAGGCATCGGATCTCGCCATTCAGAGGGGGAAGATCACCTCCAGCTCACTAGATAAAAACATGATCTACACTTAGATGACTAATGCCCTTGGCTGTTGACGTGCCCAGAATCACTAAGCAATCAATGAATTCAAACAAAATAACCTTCAAAACTGTGTCACTTTAAGTTAGCAAATCCCCTCTTAGTCCGGATGGCCGAGATCGCTAAGGCAGTAGTGCTGTAGCGATCTCGGACCGAAGGATCGCGGTTTTGAGTCCCGCCTCGGGCATGGTTGTATTTGTGTCCGTCTTTTCACCCTCTTTTCATTGTCATATCGTGTCATCCTCACAGTTACCATATCGTTCAACGCGATAATGAAGAAATTAATGCGACTTTAGATATATATATTTAAAAAAAAAAAAAAAAATCCCGGAAACCGGAGAGTCGCGTACGCACCGGAAGAGGATGTTGTTGAGCCAGAGGTCCCCGTGAGCGATGACGTTGCGGTGGCGCGCGGAGGGCTGCACGGAGTCGCAGACGCCCCACAGCACCTCGTGGGCGCGCTCAGCCACGCGCCGCGCCACGCCCTCGTCCGCCTGGCACATGGGCAGCAGCTGCATGCACGCGGCCACCGCGTTCACGCCCGCCAGCGTGTACCTGCGCAAGCAGCAGGTCGCTCTCGGAAACTCTCCTTTGGGTAATATTAGTATGACCATGATTTTAATCATTAATGTAAATTAATGATTACAATAAATAAAGTGGTTAAATCAAATTATTGACATTCGTTTTTGCAAATAAAATATTGGATTGTGAGGATTTTAAATAAAAACATTCGAATCAATAAATCGAAAAATAAATTGAATATATAAAATTTTTGAATGCAAATAATTTATCATTGTAATTTATCAATTATGTAATAAATTCTGTGGATACACAGTTAAAAACTTAATTCAAGTCGTTGCTATTTAAGAACGTCTACCCTGCGATCACAGAGTTGAATGATTGAATTACCTTTGATTGTATCATAGTTTGTATTAATACATGCCCTAATTATTGCTAGGCTGGAGGTAAGTGAATGTGATCTGATGTTCCGTTTTTGAGGAACATCAGGTTCTTCCAAAAGGAGCGAGCATAGTGCGATGTTGTAGGCTTAGCACAGAGACACCGTGCCAGTGAAATCATGCTCATTCACTGATCTCAGAATGGTTGATTTTCTCGAAAAAGGTAATATAGAATATCATACGGGAAAAGATGCCTTCACTCACAAAACATTCTAGGCGATGCGAGCGCCCTATTCTGTTGCGGGATGGACGGTCTGATTCTTTGACAAATAAAGTTGAGAGAAGATTGGCGCGTGAATTGAAAAAGAATTCTACCTTTTGACGGAAAATTATTTTATCTTCAAGCTCACGTAATGCAAGAGGTTTGAATTCTAAAATTCAATTGGTTACGAGAAATAATTAAATATTAAAGAGCTGACGGCCGTACAGCTTTGAAAATCTCTGTTAACGATTATGTGCTTTTGTAAAACTGAACTGTCATAACGAATCAACGCAATAAAATAGAGCAGACCTGCATAAAGGCCGCTCGCGCGGCCATTCTGCACTTACGAGCCAACCGTCTGCCAGCGAGAGAGCCGACAGTGCAAGTAGTGGGGGTAGAAAGCTTTGCGGGGAGGGGAGAAGATTGACGTTGTACTTAGCGGTACGTAGATTGAATGCATGAGCGTCTAATGCTGCTAATCATTTTCCCAGTTATTTAAATTAGTGATGTCCCATATTTTAAGTTGCAATGACCATAATTCACTGTTTAAATTATTCTGTACACTACTGTCTACTACTATCCACAACTGTATTGTTTGCAGTTTGTATCCACAACTGTATGCAATTTTTTCAGTTATGCTCATTGATACTCTTAAGCAATATTTTACAGCAGTGGACATTTTGAAAACTTTATTATTTAATTCTAGCAAACAAAAATAACAATTTAACTTTTAATTGATTTGATAATTATTAATTGATTGTTCACTGGGAATGTTATAATCTCCAAATGATAGCAAAATAACAATTATGAGAGCAATATCTCACATCAAGATTGACATAAAATAGTATATAGTCAATTTCAAGGGTAATGTTTAGCACATATATTTGTGACCATTTTCCCTCATTGGAATCTGAAGATATCAACGAGCAAACCTCTGATGATATGTTATGGGCAATCATGAGATTAGCATGGGCATTAAATAGAATGCAAAGGGCTTAATATTTTTATTCCATATCGTAAATGATGAATAAAGATTTAGCAGCGGCTCCCGGTCAGCGAAAATCATCATCACCATCATCGGACGTTTTACATCAACTTAACATTTCGGTTATCAAGTAACCTCATTTAATACTATAGCATTTTTCACCCTAGAGTCCCTTGAGTCTAGTCTCCACTCATTAACTCTGCAGTGACGTGTAAACCCATTGTGGCAGAGTACTTACTCCTGCTGCTTGTGGCTCAAAAGCCCGTGGTGGTGTTTGAACGCTTCAAAGGTAGGGAGTGTTGGTAGCGGCCAGGTGGCGCTCACGGCGTGACCCTTAACCCTATTATGGACCTTTTTCTCCGTCACGCAGGCAGTCAAATGCATCCATCACATTTTTTCTACATTTAGGACGGGAGCGGTCTGGGAAGGTGGTGGATGGGTACAGACCCATCATGTCACAACACTACAGCAAACATCCATTTCCAGGCGGGATTCGAACCGTGCGTCTCGTGGCTACCGCCGGAACCTGCCGCGCGCCAATGCTGCCTGGTGCAACCGGTCAATCAAAAATCAATCGTATTATTCTACCCACAATACCGGCCATTTTCTGTGTATCGCCCTCATGCGTTAATAACTGTCTTTCCTCCTCCTCTGCCGTCAATGTTTCAACCATAGCTGCGTCTTGAGTGGCGGCAAAGGCGTTTGCCAAATTACTACAACAAGAGCAGGCGCTCCCAGCCATGGGTTGCGAGATGAAACAAACACCCTGTATAACAGGAGCTCGTGTGTGCTTACTTGTAGCCGGGGTGCGCCTCGTCCCGGTTGTAGAAGGTCTCGACGAAGGCGTCGGGGAAGTGGTCGGGCGCGCGGAAGTGCTTGCCGAGCGCGCGGTCGCGCGTGCGCTCGAAGGCCAGCGAGGAGGCGTGCAGGGCGGCGAGCGCGCGCACCACCTGCGCGGCGTGCGCGCGGTCCAGCAGGTCGCGCGCGCCGTAGCCGCGGAAGCCCTGCACCGTCAGGTCCTCCAGCACCAGCAGCCCGCGCCGCGCCAGCAGGCAGCGACTGCCCCACGCGCGCCGCGCCGCGCCCGACGCGCCCTCTGCGCGCACGCAAGTGCGGGAAACAGTTGATAGTGTAGTTGAAGTAGGCTTCCGCGGCCAGAGTCATGTGGGTGATCTGGGCTCTCCGGGTGACGCCGCGTCGAAGGCTGAGTTGCCGACGTTTCGACCATCCTGTCGTGGTGATCACGTCGTCGTGACCATCCTGTCGTGGTGTCCATCCTATCGTGGTCACCACGACAGTATGGTCGAAACGTCGGCAACTCAGCCTTCCACGCGGCGTCACCCGGACAGCCCAAATCACCCAATTGATAGTTTAGCTCTTGAATTCGCGCACACACTATTAATTCTAGGAATAGCTAATGGTTGTTGGCCATTCAATTAAAAACTCCTAGATTTCTAACTCCCCTTTTCGGCTTTGGGACACATATTACATTGTTACTACATAGGTAAGTTACCAAGTTGGATGTAATACATAAAAACAAGTAAATAAATACTCAACAACATAATACATTGAGATATCGATGACAGATAAAAAGGGGAGCACCATAATTAAAATGAAATAAATTTTGCAAATCATATCATGAAAACGCACCTTACTAAGGTCGAATATTGTAGAGTAATATTCAAAATTAAACCAACACCAAAAATTGTTTTATTATTTTGTTGTTTTTTATTCACTACATTCAACTTGGTTTCCCCCTCCAGATATCTCCGCCCGAGGGTACCCGCCTGCCCGGGACAAACTCATGGTTCCTGATAGGACTCTAGATGTGTGTGATTAATTAATTGATTTGTGTCTCCAGACGCTTCCAATGCTATGGTCATTCGTCTCGTATCGTATGTAGTGCACGTCTGAAGATGGCGGTGTTCCTCCCCCGCTAGAATGAGAGAACTACATGACAGCGTGCTACATGATTACTTGCGGAGATTTTCCCTCCTGGTATCTCTGTCACCGGGTACCACCCCAGCAGGGTCCATCTCTAAGCTCGCAACTGGGCTCCTGAAATGTGCGTTAGAGTAGTCCCTGTAAGTGTGTGTGTGTGTGTGTGTGTGTGTGTGTGTGTGTGTGGTGGGAAGAGGATGGGAAAAGAATGAGGCAGCAAATATCACGCGCGGTTGGTGGCCCAATTGTTAAGGTACCACTTCGACATTCACCTGGTAGTGATTAGAGAAACCAAAGACAACTTCCAATTAAAGCAGCCGGTCGCTAGAGCCCTCCTCCAAACAGCGGCAGAATTCGACATAGCTATCTATCAGGAGTAAAAAATCCGCTACTGTCGGGACCGGAACACTCGGACCTTCTGTTCAGACACACGGCGGTGGTATCAGTTATTTACCTAAGCCATCTCAACCGATGCAAATGGATAAACGGAACACAGTGTGAATTTCAGTTAAAATTATGTTGTAATTAAGGCAAACAGTTTGGAATTTCGAAAGTTTGGAAAATGATACTGTAGTAGTCACCCGCGCTCCTTTCAAAGAACTGGCACAGGAGAGCAGCGAGGCGGCGGCGCCCCAGGAAAATACGGGTTCCGTTCACGAGAGGTCTCTGAGGTCGGGTTCAGCGGAGCCGTCACGCTTCGGTCGGCGCGACCGAGCGCACCATCGGCTGTACGGCCGTGCCAGTCGGCGAGCATTTAGCCTGACCGGGTATTAAGCGGCGCGCAGCGAGCAGTAAAGCCAGTGCCAGGCGTCCCATCATAGTGTGAGCTACGAGTGGCAAGTTATTGAGTGACTACAGTGCCGGCCAGTATAACGGACTTCTATTCTAATATTTGGGCCATGATCACGACATTGGTTTTGGACAACTCTCCGGCAATTGTTAGATCTGGCATGTTCCCGATAAATCTGGTTATTTTAAGACTACGCATGTTAACGGCTTTCTCTGTATGATCGGCAATTGTGAATAAAAAACTGTTTTACGAAATTAACTTGTTTAGGTCATAATAGATACCTCTTTGGACGTTCTACGAATGATTTTGGAAGAAACTCCCATTCCATTGCTTGGGTTGTCAAAAACGTTAGAAGCTGCATCCTAATAAAACTCTTCACTTTTAGTAATGAGCGGAATTTTCGCGTCAGTCAAACAAGTTTTTATTAATTCGGATACCCCACAACGAGTATCCTATTTACGGTCTCGGAGGTTCCGTTGCTGGCATCAGCATTACGAAGATGCGATGCTTCTCGGATATTTTCTCGATGATGCGCAGTAAGAGCATAATAAATTACTGACCTAACGCTCGGCTCTTAAAGAGAGAGTGAGGAGGTAAAAGGATCGCACGTGGTTCGTGGTTAATTATGTAAGGTACTTTCCGTCATCTTCATGAAGTTCATCAGCGAAAACCACGGGCTAAATAACTACATTACGTTGTGTAACGTACTTTTACGACATCTTCCAGAAATTTATCAGCAGAAACTATGAAAATTACTACATAACGACATAACTCCCCCTGGGGTAGATACCCGGAAAAGGAAATCTCGCAAGCCGACATGTTAGGACGTAGCCAGATCCTACGATTCAGGAAGTAGGAACACAGCAACCTCTCGGAATATGACATATACTACGCTTATGGGACTATGCCTCACCTTAGAACATGACCCACCCTGAATCATTTAACGTTCAGTTAGTCGAGGGAAAAGGGAGGGATGAAGAGAATGTAAATGAAGATTGGGAAGACAGGAGAAGATGAACAAGGAAGAGAAAATGGCAATAAATGAGGGGAAATAGAAGAACAAATAAAGAGTGCCGGAGGAGAAGGGAACGATAAAGAAGGAATAAAATTAAGGAAAGGGGAGATGACACCCGAGTATTTGACATACACTACACTCGCAGCATCAACAACATTAAGATTTAATGCACCCGTCAATTAATGTTCACTCAAATGCAAAAAAAAGAAGTGGAAAAATGAAAAAGGTGGGGAGGATAGAAGAAGGAACAAGGAAGGGAGAAAGAGGACGAAAAAATAAGGTGAAAATGGAAAGAAGGAATTGAGTTTCGTGGAAGGAAGGTGAAGAAGGAATGGAGTTTCGTCATCAGCCGCAGGAATGAAAAGGGGGCAAAGAGGATGAAAAAGAAGAAGAAGAAGAAGAAGAAGAAGAAGAAGAAGAAGAAGAAGAAGAGATAACGAGAAGTGCGTGTACGGGCCGAGGGCAGCACGGCGCGCATGGCCGGCTCCAGCTCCGCGTAGTAGATGAGCTCCTTGCTGGCGGCGCCGCTGCCCTGCACGAAGGCGCTCTGCGCGTCGTTGGCGGGCAGCTTCTTGACGAAGAAGCGCAGGCGCTCGCGCCGCCCGCCCTCCGCCCACCGCACCGCCACCTCGAGGCGCAGGTGGCTGCCCAGGTTGCCCAGCGGGCCGCCGTCCGCCGCCAGGTCCCGCTCCGACCACGACTCCACCACGAACGATCCGCCCGCGCGCCCCGTCTGCTGCCGCACCACCGCCTCGCAGTCCTCGCGGCTCAGCGCCTGCGCAACACAACACTACACACCTGTATAGGTGTTGTGGTGTGATATCTTTGGCATTTTTCATAAAATAATTAAAGACGTTGTCATTGCCAACAATATTATTTAATGCAAGTGCAGCTTTCGATGGCTTAGCCATCATCATCAGTTGTCTGCTGGATGGAAGCCACAAAAACGACTACCTAGTCGGATTTAATGCTGCTCTTGCATTAAATAATATTGTTGGCAATGACAACGTCTTTAATTATTTTACTACACACCTGACTGTTTATTTCTGCATCCGTTTAGGCAATCAGTTGTAACTAACGGCCGTATGAGTGCACGTATGAGTCTTCACGAATACCACAAACATAGTATGTATATGACCACCCTCTGTACGGATATATATATATATATATATATATATATATATATATATATATATATATATATATATATATATAGTGGGTGGCCAGATTATTAGGGACAGTACTCATATTTGAGTAATATTTAATGTAATTTTTTTGAGAAAAAAGTTAATGGATTTGTAGTATTACAGTAGTCATTTTTATTGTTTATAATAAGTGGCAACACTGGATGCCTACGTTATTTAAGAAATAAGAGGTGTTACATTCATTCAGTTGAAGTTTATTGAAATCTGATGCTGCAATAAAGTCATGCAATTTTTTTTAAAAATATTTTCTGCGTGATTTTACTTTCCAAAAATTTTAAAACGTAAGTATAGTTCCTTGCTGCGTTACTCTTATTCAATTTTATGAGTGAATTTCATTTTAGTTTACAATGTAACGCCATAATCTCGATTTTTTTTAAAAATTTTTGTAGGGAAAGGTTGTATACGCGTTTGCAAGGAAAATTAGAGAAATGAAAACACTATTACTTTACTTTACACATTAACAGAGATATAGCAACTTTGGCAGGTGTTCCGAGAACTGTCGTTAAGAAAATAAATATAAAAATTGACCCAAAAAACCTGGAAGCAGTCCGTGAGGATAGATGTGGCAGGAAAAGGATCACCAGCTTTCTTACAAATCGTAGAGCCAGGGATTTCTGCCTCAAAAATCGTAAAACGTTTTGCTCGTCTGACTAGGATGATAAACGCCGAGAGAATAACAGTTTCCTACGACAATCCAGAGACGGTCAGCCGAAGAAAAACTGATCGATGGTCCCTTAACAAAAGACCATGGCTCACCCAGGCCACAAAGAAGAAGCGACTGTAATTGGCCAGACAACACACTGGCCAGACAGACTCTGTCTCTGATCATATCTGTCTCTCTATTTCTCTGTCTCTCTGTTTGTTTCTCTCTCCGCATCTGTCTGTCTCTGTCTCTTTGTGTCTATCTGTATCAGTACATGTTTGAACATGATTCAGAATAGTGTCACAAAGGAGAATTACTGCATTCCTGGCAGAAAAGCAATACCGTTTTGTCCTGGCCGACGAACTCACTAAACATGAACCCTATACCTTCCGTCTCTCTGTCCATGTCCTTCTCGGGGCCTCTGTCTGTCTCTTGATGTCCCTTCGCGTCTCTGTCTATATCTCTCTCCGACTCTGTATCTGTCTCTCTATTTCTCTGCCTCCGTGTTTGTTTCTCTCTCTGTGCATCTGTCTGTTTCTGGCTCTTTGTGTCTCTCTCTGCCTCAGTCTGTTTCTGCCGGTCTGTCTCTGTCTGCCTCGTTTGCATGTCTACCACTGTCTCTGTCTATCTGTCGCTCTCTCTGTCTCTGACTGTCAGTCTATCTTTTTCTGTCTCACTCGGTCAGTCTCTGTGTTTGTATCTCTCTCTCTGTCTGTCTGTCAGTCTATCTTTCTCTGTCTCTCTCGGTCTGTCTCTGTGTTTGTCTCTGTCTGTCTGCCCCTCTCTCTGCCTGTGTAATTCTCTGTCTCTCTCACTCGCTTACTTACGCCATTATCTGTATATATATATATATATATATATATATATATATATATATATATACACAAACACACACACTTCAGTTCTTTGCACACCAAGAATATCAAAAAACTGTTGTTCAATAATGAAACATATGAATAGAATAATATTTAATGGCGGTTATCTTTCTTGGAGACTTGCTGTCACATCTGCTGCCGTAAGGTAAGTCTGAGCTATCAGACAATATGAAAAGACAGACAGTACGATAGCGCAATATGAAAACTAGTGGTCCTATGGAATGGTGCAGACTTTCTCGTATTAATTTTCTATTTTCTTTGGTCTTGCCTAACTATTCGTTCCTGCCACAGTACTCTTGTCAGCTGCCCTCTATCGCCGGCTAGAGTACCTTTTTTATATTTTCTCAATTTTTCGGTTTCCTAATAGTAGAATAGAAATATTACTTTAAGAATATTAAACAAGTAAACCTCGTCATGTTTCATTGAAAAATTTCGAGTCGCATTTAAGAAAATTACATCTCAGCTTTATGAAAATGCGGAAATTTGAGCTCATTTTCACAGAAAAGTTTTGAGTTTTCGTGAAATCTTTATAACCTCGTCATGTTTCATTGAAAAATTTCGAGTCGCATTTAAGAAAATGGCGTCTGAGCTTGATGAAAATGCGGAAATTTGAGCTCATTTTCACAGAAAAGTTTTGAGTTTTCGTGAAATCTTTATAAGTCGTGTTTTAAAGGATGCGGAAATACTCTAATGTAAACAAATCGCCGCTAATGTAAATATTAACGTGAGAGACAAGTAAAAAATCACATTTTGTGATTTTTGAAAAACAAAATTAAAGAGCAATATGACATTTGTCATCTCATAGAGAAGTTTAGTACTATCCCTACCAAAACTTTAAAGAAAAAGATTGGAGTTGTTTTAGAGATAATCGGGATTTTGTTATTTTTTAATTTCACAAATATTACAGAAACATAACGTGATAACTACTACAATTTTAAAAAAATTAACATGATTAATTTTAATTAAATTTAACTAATTTTTGAAAAATTAACATGACCTTAATGATATAAATAAATACGAGAACAAATTTTATGTGATGGAAAATATCTATCTTCAATTTTGTAGTCGTGGAATGACGCCGAAAAATATTCAAATGTTTGCAATTTTTGAAAGTTCAGAGTTAACAGTGAAAAACAAGTGTATTTTATCATCATAAATGTATTTTAAACAATTCTTACAAGAAATTTAAAGAAAAAATTTTAGAGCCATATTTGAGAAAATTTTGAAAATGTCCTCGTGTAAAGTACCCCTAAATTTAAAAAAAAATTTTTCAAAATCTCAGCGCGTGGACTCGAGCTTGATGGACTCTAGGAATCCAGGATAGGAATATCCATATTGGAAAAAATTATACGTGTTATTTAGACGCTAGTGGTGCTCACAAACGGACGAACGTTTTGGAAGAAACACTTTTTGGGCAACAGAAGATCCAAAACTCGTGAATTTCAGTTTAAATCTCGAAATTGATTTTCTTCAGCATTACATAACTTTGTCCACACTGCGTACTATATTACTCCGTACGTACGTATATATACAAGAAAGTAATAGGCGGAATAACACCACCAAATAATTGCATTTTTCAGACAAAATCAAAATTATTTTTTAATCTTCCTGCTATTTTTTGTCCTGTCCTTTTTTACCTTGAAGTTCCTGGGTATTTAATAAATGCATGGACGTTTGCAATTTTTGCGCGCATTTAAGTTAGTATTAGAGATATGGTGGATCTATCTTCGTTATGTTTAATGCGTTAAGGAAGGACAACTTCACTTTATAATACGCTGAAGACGACGACGATTAATAAGATGTCTTAATGCTCTTATTGTGATTTAATGTGAAAATTTGGTACTTCCTATATCAAGTTAATTTGTTGTCATTACTTAATTTGTCTAATACGCACTGCTTTTGGGCTGGGCCTAGGTAGCCAATCTCAAACACACATTGTAAGAAATTGCACATGGAGCAGGCAAACAAATAATTCAATTGTGTAATTCAATAACTGTATTTTTTCTGGGCTCATTTGTTCCAAATTTAGTCTACTTTTTTCTGCAATCTTGTATTCGATAGTACGATCGACCGACAGAGCAGTTATTTTGTCTGAGTCAAACAGACTCTAATTGACGCGTCAGACTTTAAGGAGCGAACTCGCGCATATTATCCACTCAAGCAATTTCGAAACCCAAGGTCAAATGCTAGACGCATAAAGGATTTACTATCATTTACTTCGTGATCGCTTCTTCTAATTATGAAAGAACAGCACCTTATCAATATGTCGAAAAATAATCAGAAAATTTCTAGGAAGTCTTTGGGCTATTAGGGAAAGGGTAATTAGTGGTTGGAGAAAAATCGCTTGTTACGAGTAGTAGTAAGCCTAGGTCTGTTAGTAAATAAATATATAAACAAATAAAGAAATGAATGGAAGAAGTGCATAATGTTGGATAAATGGATATGTGCGCGAGATAATTAAGTTTAACGACAAGGTTGCAGACTATTTTCTATGGCACAATTTCGTTTCCGGTGCTGAAGATTCCAAAGCCAGGAAGACATCATGACTTAGTCGCCTGACTTAATTTAGTCTAGAAATACTTTAGAGATTAGTGTGTATTCGTCTTCTGACGACAGGTTTTTCCCTTCACAGGACTTTTTCCTCATTTGCACCACATGGTCTCTTCCTTCAGCATGGATGTGAATAAGAAACCATCTGAGATGGACACCAGGATTTGAAAAGGTAGAATATTGTAAGGTGTAATATAATATTTAATAATGGCTTTGACCTCCTGGCTTATTCGGTCTTTATAATGGCTTATAGGCCTCCGACCGGTCTACGAGTACATAGTATCAGGCAACGCAGCTGTTAAAAATGACCTAGTAAATAAAAATATATGAATAAAATTAGGTCGAAAAGAAAATTTGTGCAATGACATTCAATTTATGAAGATATCAGAGTGAGCGAGTTGGCAGAGGGATTACTTAAGACGAATGACGTCAATGAAAGTTGATTCTCAAATTTTTTGTGGAAATACATTTGCTGGTACAGCTCCAAAAGCTCGAATTACATCAAAGCCCAATACTCGTAAATCAGACTTTTTTTTTCAGCGAGATCATCTTTCTTTCATTCTTTCTCTCTCTTTATTTTTTCTTTCTTGTTTCTTTTCTGAAAAGCAACGTTGTATTTCTGTGCAATTACATGAAAATACCACATTTATGTTGTAAAGAAATATGTTTGATTGTCTTTAAATATCCTGAGGTTACCGCTGTCCTGCAATACCAATGACCATTTCCCTTGGGCGGCGTAGAAATGTATTTTTGCAATAACTGTTTAAAATTGACAACTAGCTGTGCGTATAATTGAGAATAGAGTATTTGTAGTAAGTGTAACATTAAAATAAAAATGTTATAATTATATCGAAAGGAATTGTAAGATTTCAATTATTTCTCTCTAATCTTGTCAGTTCTTGAAGGGCCAAATTTAAATTTTATAAAGAAAAGTATACTTTCGTATGATGGTGTTGCTTTCCACGCTGATGGGTAGTGGTTCAGTTGAAATATTCGTAATTTTTTCATATGTTTTGTCTGAACCTGCGGAAGACTACTTTAGTGAAGGTGACACCTTCCTGGTTGTCTCCTGGCAGTTAGTCTGGTCACTGAAGATGTCTTCGGCAGGTGCAGACAAAACCCCTGAAAGATCGACTGGACCATGGCTTCGCAGCTCGGAAAGCAAGATCAATAAAGTTAAAATTTACTTGTAATATCTCAATGATTCATATTAATCAGAGTTTAATCTAATATCTAAGAAACATATTCAAGAACGTAAGTTTAATATCTAAAAACATCTGACATTAATTAAAACGTATTTCACTAAACTAATTAACCCATAGGAGACGATGTTCATATACACTATCAGGAAACACAGCAGAATTGAAAAGAAAGATTATTTTTAATGTTTAGAAAATTAAAGTTTTTGTGGGTGCGTGACATTTTTACCGTAATGTGAACGTCATTTTGATCAATTAACACAACGAAAACGAAATACCAAACATTGTTATACAGATTCTGTTAGTCACAAATGATAAATATTAAAACTACGAAAAATACAAACGATATGATGGAGCACATGTCTGGAGTAGTACATACATTTTGACTAATAATAGACACTATTTCGTCATAAACAACTCCTACAACGTATTAGTGTGAACATTTTGAAATGTAAGTTTTGCACGATTAGAAAATATTATTTTTATTACGTTTACATGTAACAGCTTATAGCAAATAAAGAAGCATGAATCGCTCATTTTAAAAGGCCCTTGAGTGATTATTGTCATGAATAGAATGATGCTCAGATGATGATGATATGACACTTATTTTGCTTCTCAGAATTTACTATTTTTCCACGTCAATTGTCAATTTGTTTCTATAAAATTGAATGTAAGTAAATATCATGTCTGTCACAAAACATAGACAAAACACCATTTAAGCCTAATTTATAAATCAAATGAGAACCCATTGCACTCTACATATAAAACATATGAAACTACTTCATGGTAAGTACGTTAAATGAGAAAAATGTTTTCAAATACCAGTCGAAATGTCCCAAGAAAGGCTAAATTTGATCATTGCAGCTAACTTTCCGCCCCAAAAACATACCCGATACTTTTTATTGGTTCTGTTGTTATATAAATAAATGAATAAACCTACATAAGTATTAGACAATATAAAACTTACACTTTTCATACTTACGTTGATATTACAGCAAATTAATAAGCATGGCACGCCACATTTAAAAGAACATAAAGTGCTATAACAAAATACAACACGAGGAAACTCTGAGTCGCCCTTTCTGGGCACTAAGAGTAGGTATTTTTTACCCGAAAGTTCGTATGATACATTCAACATTTTCGAGTTTATATATACATAAATTAAAAAGAACTCATAACTGTTACAAAATTTAAAATTTACACTCTTTAAAGTTACACTCATATGGATATGATACGGTAAGAATCGCACGTCACACTGAAACTTCTGGCACAGAACACGATTAATAAAATGCTAAAAGATGGTCCCATTTTTGCATGAAATTCCTCATCTCTCAAACCCACACGAAGTTGTATATTTTTTTCACTTTAAACACACAATAAAAAAATAAAAGCTCAAACTTTTCCTGAGCTTACACACTCCGAACATATCGTACCTGTGAGTTGCTGAAGCCATCAACAGCCGGTAATTCGTCCGTTTGCTTCATTTTCCGTCGGTCTTCCGCGCGAACAACCAACACGCGTCAGCGTCGTAGCCCGTCGGCACTGCGCGCACGGCTCGTCCGTTCGTGGCTTTCATAGCAGCGCCGCGCCGCGCCGCGCCCGCCCCGGCCTGCCATCGCCATCGCCATCGCCTCTGCATGTCGCCGCGCCACGCGGCCCAGCCACACCACGATTTACGGCAACTTGCGTAAGACGACAACGTAAGGGCGAGGACCGTCGCGGAATAACTCTGGTCATATGCGCCCCTTGGTGACATCAGTGTGCAGTGCTGTCAGTGATAATCGCCCATGAGCAGAGATAGCTGCATACCATGAACGATTTATTATCTCTATGTAGGACAGACGACGGTTTTGGACATATCACTTCACACATAAAACTCTGTAAGTGTACTACTGCTGGAAACAGGGAATGATTCGCCAGTTCTGCATCCTACAGAATTAAGAGGGAAAAACTGAAGTTTGCAAATGTTCAAAAACAGATTACTGCAACAACCATTACGAACACACACAGCTTGGAAACGATGCGTTCTAGACCCTCGCATTGCGTTTTCTGTCTCGAAGGGGCAGAAGCTTTTAGGGGATAAGGCCTATGGGGACACGATTGCTTGATTGATTATTTTGTGTTTCCGAGTGCGTCAACTGCTATGACCATGTCCCACAAATGTAATACATGTGTCATCACAGAAATTGGCAGTGATCATCTCCGCTCGATGGTGAGATCGGGCACCAACTTACAGGATAAACCTTTCCAACCTGGTGTCTCCCACTATCAGGGCACCGCCCCAACTGGAACAAGCTCTAAGCTCCCGACGGGTTTCCCGGCGTGTGCAATAGGTAAAGTGTAAGTAAGGTGTGAAGATGGGAAAAGGAAGAAAAAGGAAAGATCGCGCGCTGCATTTCCCTTTTGTTAGGGTACTGCTCCGGCATTCGTCTAATGTTGATCGGAGAAACCACGGAAAACTCCCGATCAGAGAAGCCAGCCGCTACAATTCTCCCCTAGTCAGTGGCTGAATTCAACGAAGCTATGTATCGAATGTGCAAAATGATGCCACCGTCGGGACTCGGACTCTGGGATCTCCCAGTTATAGGCACTACAGTGACATGAGTTGATGCTCTAAACCACATCAGCCGGCATGGGGGACAAGAGTTTCAGATGACATATGAGGGGGCGACATTTGAGAATAGATGGGAATGCTGAGGGACATTTGGGAACACGTGAACAGATGAAGCGGGACAGGTGGCGAAGGCGGATACAGGCTCGGATTAATGTTTCTTAAATAGTATTCTTCAAAAAGTGATATATTTGAAATATCTGTCTCTTTTTGGAGACTTAATTGTTTTGAGTGCTCCTACTTCATTTCACGGGTGATGGGAAAAGTGCAGAAACACAAAATTGTCGCATTCAAGGTCACTTTCAAGGTCACCTTCAAGGTCATTTTCAAGATCACATTCAAGGTCACATTCAAGATAACTTCCAAGATCACGTTCAAGGTCACATTCAAGATAACTTTCAAGGACACTTTTAAGGTCATTTTAATGATACTTTCAAGGTCAAGGTTTCATAAAATTTGAGGGGAAAAACTAATCTTTCACGATGAAATTAAAAGTGTCTGATTTTTTGTGTCATTAACTAAAACTTAAGCAAAAATTGAACGGTCACTCTCGCACGTTTCGGAACTTTAATGCTAAAATGCACAGTTAAAGGGCTGGCTTTAATATTGGGTTTTACTAACTAACAATTATTTACAAAGTGGGAAGTTTTCGTACGGGTCCATCTAGTATTGAAATATTCATTCATGAGTTCAACTCTCTGGTGGGTGAGAACATCTGCCTTACAAGCAGACACAGTTTCTATTGTTATCACTGGCAGCGCTATAAGTGAGCCAAGCGTTTTTCCCAATCTCATGTGCTTCAGTAAGCTTATAATCTTTAAGAAGAGAATGGTGAGGGACCTTTTCATGTCAACTATTATTTTTTGAAACTAGCGATGCCTCACAGACAGATGTTCCCAGTTCCGGTTGCAGGTTTTGATATCTGCTTTTTATGCAGATGTTCTATAGATGCATGATATAAAATCTGCTTCTCAAGTAAATTTATTTATTCAATTGCTTTGAAGCACATACTATTGAACTAATTTTCTTTCAAGAGTTTTATGGATTTTCATCTTAATTACTAAAAAGATGTTGACTTTGGATATCTGTAGATAATCTTACGATGATTACGCCAAAAGATAATAAAAACATTGTTTTGTCAAAGTTATTGAAATCCACAATAAGATTGTTCAATATATATTTTTAAAGTAAAAAACATTCTGAATTTCATGATCTAAATATAAGTCATGGATGCGTTTTGGTAATGTCTGCCTCTGAGGTACATATTCCCACGAAAAGGGGGGAAAACATGAACTCGCCAGAGAGTTAAGGTCCCTTCTACCACTAAAGTTATTGAAGTTCATGAGTGGTCATGTAATGAGTAAATGATAGCTTTAATGGCGATGATGTGATTGATTATAGGTCAATGGTTGAAAGAGAGGCAGGGGAAACGGAAGATACTTGAGAAATGTACGGAGAGCTCACTTTGCCGCCACAAATTCCACATGAACTGGCTGGGTATTGAAATCAAACCCAGTGGTGGAAGATGTAAGCCCCACAAGCATCTCTAGCCATTACACCAGGACTGCTATTGCGTGTAATTTAGAATAATTTAGAGTTACTGATTCAATACGAGAATATGCGTAATGACAAATCAAATATTCGCATTTTTCGGTCAAAATGAAAACTGTTCTATTGTATTTGGATTTTCCCCACATTTTTGATTACCTTATGAGACCATTGTCAATTCTTAGATGGTCGGAGTTTTCTGCGCGCATTGGAAATTAGTGATGTTTTTTATGTGTTATGTATGTATGTTTTATATGGTACAAAGTAGCTTAAATGTAATACCTGGTACTTACGTGCTTTATATAAATTATTAAAAAAAACAATGCATTTGACATGAAATTGTCCACTACTCACAGAACCAAACTTTCTGTGCTCGCAAGAACATTGTCCCTGCCCTCGCATACTGACACGGAAATTCGTCTGGCGAATCCGCCCTCACACTGTGTTCTATTACACCTCATAGTGTGTAATTTAAAAGGAGTAGTTCTGTATTTTAGCGCCTTAAAATATTATCTCTTCTATTTCCCCACATCCAAACTTGAGTAAGTTAATTAAATATGTAAAATGACTGTTTAGTTATAGGAAAACGTTTGTTCACACTCCTTCCCTCGAGATGGTAGAGATATACAATCACTAGCGACGGTGCACTATATCCAGTGAATGTAAATGGTTCTTCAAACTTATGTAGAATTTGTGTCACTTTTATTGAACAGATCATTAAAAAGGCCATGACCAGAGATGGCGTACCTTTATTGAACCGCCAGCTCCTCTGTAACAAAAGCACTGACTGACCCACTACTGAGCAAGTAGGATGTTAATTCTCCTTTAAAGAGATGGCTCTTTCGCTAGCATCTCGTTGGTAGCAATTGTAAGAGTCGAATTGCAGCCAGATCGTAATGCACGTAGGACGCATTTCTCTCTTACGTGATAGAGAAGAGAGTCCGCTCTAAAGCAAATCTGAGCGCATAACTTCTAAGCGGCGATTTCAGGATCATCTCTGACCCCACGCGCAAAGACATAATTGCCTGAATTCCCATATCAACTGTTACTTCAATAAAGTGAAGAACTGAAAAAAATAAACTTGGGAAGTCAAGTAACAGGTCCAAGCAGGTGCTACCACATTGTCCACAAAAACGATTTCCGAAGATAAACGAATAATACATGAAAAACATATACACTAAATGCGTAGTAATCAAGCATGTAATTATACTATATCTCTCATTTTTTGCTGAAGTGGTAGGACGTCTGACTGAAAAATATTTTGTTTCAACTCCTGGCAGGCCAAACATATCACAATTGGAATTTCATAAACAAGCCTTAAAAGTTAGTGCCAAGTTGGGAGCGTGACTTTGTGTAGTTACGTGAATACAGTGTTTTTGTAGTATTCAATGAAAGAGGAAACTTCCGTTCTTTGTCACTTATTTTAAACTGATATATATGGAGTGAAAAACATCGTTTGGTGTTAATTTACCCTATGAATGTTTGAATATGTCTCCTAAGAGGCAATATAACATGTTTAAACTAGAAAAAAGTAACAATTTGTTGAAAAATTGGTGTTGCGACATACCCGATTGTGTTACGAAAGGAAAAAGAAATATTCAGCTATGATTCATCCGAGAAACGATACCCAGTTCAAGTATTTCAGGCCATGACAACATATCTAGGTAAATGTTACATAACGTATCATCAAAAGTTAGAGCCAAAGTGGCAGCTATGCTTTGTGTATACTTTCTTATATTGCTTACATAACATCCATACAATTTTCTCATAAGGAATAACGGTTTTGGAGTTGAAAGACGATACAAGATAACGACTTCTGGTGAAGCATTTTTATGAAAAAAATTACAAGACGATTTTAAAAAGTATGTATTATTCGTAACAAACGTTTTAGTAATCTGAGATTATTCGATTTCATTCTAAAAATAGTGAAAAGTTTTCATGGAATGAACAGTAGGTCGAATTTACTCGCTGTCTGGTGGATAATTCTAGCAATCGGTTTCTCTAATAGGTAGTTTTCCGTGATTCCTCCGATCAATTCCAGGCGAATGCTGAGGCGAACAAACGGACCACGGACCGCACACATCTTTACTGCCCCTGCCTTGTCCTAATCTCCCTCTTACTTGCACACACCTACACGTACATGCTCTACACTATAGCGCATGCCGGGAGGCCAGTCGGGAGCTTAGAGCTTGTACCTGCTGGGGCAGTGCCTAGTGATGGGAGATACCTGACTGGGAAAAACTTCGACGAGGGTCGGCACCGAATATCACCATCCAGCTGGAGAATATCACAGCCACATCTCGAGGAAAACATATGCACTACATTTACGGGAATAATGACTTTAGAAGTTAACGCACTGGAATCAATAAGCAATCAATCAAATCTTCCCAAACTCTGACAACATACGAGTATTGTCGAGTAATAAAGCATTGATGTCACCAAAACATCGATGTTCAAAAATAAAACACCTATATTAATAACACATTTACCTAACATCATCGATGGTTTTAAACATCGATGTTTAAACTGGTTTAGTAACCTCAAATATTAAATGTTCGCCCGGAACAAACTTTAATTTGGCATTGGCCGTGTTTAGTAAGTTATTAAGTTATAACTGGCAAAACACAGTTTAAAGAAATAATAACAAGTTTTAACGAAACTGATCTTAAAGCGTGAGCTCCCAGGGTACGGTGACTGTGCGGGTGAAGTGGGGTGGGGAATAGGTCCTGCACCGACAGCGAGAACGTAGTCCGCCTGCCCATGTGCGAAATACAAGTAAGGAATCCGCACTTACCAGGGCATCGACCTCTCCTTCGGTCGCGAGACTGCTCGATAGATATTAATGCAAAGAGCGTTTATTTGGTTCGAACTCGTACACTGCCAGTGATACCGTCAGTATTGTCTCGTATTTTAGCTTTTACAATATGAAGATTATGGAAATTTTTCATTCACAAACAAAACATCGAAAATTAAATAGAGTACAAAACAACAATGTTTATAAAACATTGGTTTTTGTAAATTTATGTTTAAAATTTTGTTTCTATTAAAATCAATTTTGATGTTTCTATTCAAACTAGTAGTGCTACAGATTGGCACAGAATCTCTCGCACTCGTTAGATTTCTAATCTCTTTAGACTAGGCTTGCTTCCTGATATTGTCCCACTTCTTTCCCAGCTGCTACCTATTGGCACCAAAATTATTTTTTTCTTCTCATTTTCCCAATTTTTAGACCCCCTAATAGAAGGAATGAAATACATATTTATGAATATTACAGAAGAGAAAAACAGTCCCATACGCAAATTTTCATTGAAAAATTTGCAGATGTTATTGAGAAAATGTCGTTTGATCTGCAAATTCGCAATTTTGATCTCATTTTCGCAAAAAATGTTTTGAGTTTTCGACAAATGTCATCAGATACCATTTGAATTACTTGTAATCACAAATACAATAATGAATAGGAAATGGCCGTTAAGACAGATCGACGAACAGATGGACAGACGGAAAGACAGTCCGAATGACCTTGAAAATGTTCCCCTTTTTTTTAAGTCACATCTTTCTCTGGTAATTGGCGTCTTCACTCATTTACATAACATTAGCATCCGTTCTCAGAACAATACCAAACGAAATTATACAAAAAACCTTATTCTATATACCTTACACAATTAAAACATATTTTTTGACAAAAACAATTTTGCATTATTTTACGGAGATGATGTTTTTGGAGGGGGAACGTTTCTCTTTCATTTAGCGCCGAATATTTTCCCGGCATTGATCATTCCTAGTCTGTCAAAAATATAAAAAGTTTGAATGTTTAGAAGTAATACTTTTCCTTGCAGCTGCGTACGTTAAAACGTCTGCTTAAGATTTTGTACCATATAGAAATTTGTTTCCTATGACAATCACTACATTATCTACTTGTAATACAAGATTCATAAATGCATGCAAGTTTTATCAATGATGAAGCATATATGTTGAATTAGGCACACACAAATTATGCAGAGTTTCTAGCATATATTTTTTAACCTCTTTGCTGCTGCAGTTATTTCAAGGGCATTTCGCTTGGATCCCCCTCACAATAACGACAAAATTGCAAGTCAAAAAATGTTAACGGTGCTGTGTTACAAGATTGGAACCATGAGTGGAAGTCAGGGCGCCCTTCTGTAACATCTGGAGATACGATATCTGCAGGTGGTCTTATGTGTAATACATTCGCGATCGTGTGTGCGTAACACGCTTTCAGTGAGCGACGAGCCTGATGAGTGAAGGGCAAGGGTGCAAAGGGGGACAACCAGAGCTACTTGCTTCAGGCTTCGACTTAATTAGAGCACTCATTTCTTTCAATTGAAAGTAAATAAAAAAATGTAGTTACTTAAAATGGAAACTAACAGTTAAATCTGGGAAGGTCATTTTTTAAAAAAATGTAATATTTTACACACCAAAAGTTTTGGATTTATCCCTTTTTAATTTGTTCGTTCAGTTAACTAAATATGCTAGTTAATTCCATGAAAAATCGTTGATTACGTCTACGTTAATAGCACCCATGCAATTAAAATTATATCGTGCAATTAAAACACACCTACCAATCAGAATTCAGAAAAGGAGCAAAATTGTTTAATTAAGAAACTATAACATAGACGTTGCCTAAGTATTTCCAGTCGGCCACGAATCATGAACAAAGATTTACATTACAGATGCGCACCTACAACTACATATAAACAACGAATGAATAACACTAAATTGGGAAGTAATGTTAAGAATGCTGACTTATGGATCAGCATAAAATACTTAACATGAACAAAATAAATGTTTTACATGTAAATTATTTAGTCTTAGAATTACAAGTGTAAAAAAAGTGTTGTGTTTACAAGTGTAAAAAATGTGTTGTTAAATCAGTTGTGTTTACCAATTATAAAACGTACGCTACAGCAAAATTGTGTCACAAAGAGGCTAGTTACCCCCTTCTCAATATTTATACATGTATGCTCTCTCATACCTGTATCTATTTTTTTGTAGTGTAGTAATGTTTTGAAGACTTTGTCAGCTTCTAATATTTTATCCGCAATATGTTTAGAACCTTCCATTTGCAAATATCTCGTGCAAACAAACACGATGCAAGGTTCATTAAAATAGATCTTTTTCAGAATCAATACGTCATCAAATGCATGCGTAAGATGGTACAGATGTGCTTGAATTTCTCAAAATTTAAATTATTCTTAAATGGCATCGAAAAAGTATTGAACGTACCATGTGTAAAAAGGGGTATAATTGCACTCGTTGTGATAAGAAAACTAGCTCCTATCGTAGCTCGTTTTCTTGAACATATCACTCATGCAATTATACCCCTTTTTATACACTTTTTTCGTTAATTACTATAATTTGTTAATTTTTTAATGTTAAGTATAATGCAAATAAAAGGAATTATTTCAGAAAATGTTGAAAAATAAAAAAAGTAAATATCAGCTTTCCTAAAAACATAATGCACAGCATAACGTTACCTCAGCATTACGATGCCTCAAGTCTTCTCCCCTTTTAGCGTTACGTAAAAAATAATATTAGAGCCATTACCTGGAGCCATTTGCTTCGTATGCCAGCAAACATTACTGGTACCGGCCGTCTCCTGCCGTCCCCATCACCGTCACTGCAAAGTGCCGACGGTCACCACGCACTGACCCTTGCGAGTTCTAGCAAAACCGTCCCTTAGCCCCGCCACCGACCTCCTCCGCCATCCCACTCGCTCCTGTCCTTCAGTCTAGTCCCTCATCTTTCCTCTCTCTCCCGTTGCCTCCTTCTCAGCCTCCAACCACCCCCACTGCCTATATCCTAGCAT